CCAGGTACGCTTGCTTGGGATTATCCGGGACATACCCCAAAACATCGAAAAGGGCTCCCACCTCTGGGGGGCTGTGGGTCGGAAAAGACTATCAAAAGAATTGCGGGAAACACAGCTATAAATGTTATATAAAAACTCTTTGGAACCTCTGATAACAAACACAAATTTGGACAACCAAGCCTGTTCAACCAGAAAGTCAATCGTTTTGCTCTTCAGCCCGAACTCTTCAAGCAACGTGAGAAGAACTTGGTGATTGGTTTGGATAGTCTTCGTGCAAAAGACCACTTCACCATTGTCTAGGTAACTCAACTTTATCCAGTCCTTGCCCTTCCTCACACGAGAGCGTACCAAAGGCACTTTCTCCCATCGCAGGGCAAGCCGACGGGAATCCTTGTGGGCCTTCCCTTTACCCATTGTCTAAGCACAAGACCTCACTCACAGTTGAGCCCAAATGAGCTGATATTATTCACAGGATGCTGTTGATGTCAAATTCTTCATTATTCCTTCTGGGAAGAAGCTCATCAGTGCAAATTTGACAGGTCCCAAATTGTTTACTGCTTGGGGCCCCAAAAAGCTCCAGGAATGGCATCCCATCCGCAAACCGAAGCCTTGAAGGCAGTTCGAAAGCTGCAGCTTCCAGCAGATGTTCCAGCCTTCCGGTCGCAAGGTAGGATTTACTTTTTTTTGCCATACCAGTTTGGCTATATACCCACTAACCCTTGATGCCAGAAATAATTTGGCAATATTTCTTGGATGTTATATTTAACATGTTTATCAACTTGAAATGCAGTTTGATACAGTTTGCAATGCGACAAGCATGGCCATTTCAGTTCTTGTTTTTGTTGTGTCTCAGAACCTCATATCATGGAATCTTTGGGATGTAAAAAACGGGGTCCATGCGCCACCAGATCAACTTAAACAGATTATCCCCTGTTTGAAGAAGCCTCACAAAGCATCTGAAAGCGGAGGCTTGAAGAGCACCTTCACCACACCTCCTGGGTGTAGGAAATATAGGAACCATTTGTATACAGAAATAAGTTTATCAAACGTAAGTTTATCATTACAATTCAATACAGTTTTCACTATTTGGAAGTTGATAACCTTCCTAACAATCATCCGCAATATGTTTTGTTTTGCTGCAGCAGCTGTGTAAATAAAAGCCGTTCAACATCGGTTTGCGTGATACAAGATACATCTGTGAAATCGAAATCATAGCCACCAGTGTGGATTCATGCAACTGTGTGCCAACATCACATCCACACTGTGATTGGATCATGTTACTTGTGGAAGAATATGCCCACGTAGGGCGTCACATTCCCCTATATGCTGCCTTAAGATATTCATGGGAGTGAACCTGGACATCACAGCATCCAAGCCATCTTTGGGCAACACGGGGGACTCCTTTGGGGACCCCTTTGTTTGTGTAAGGTAAAGGAACCCAATAAATTGCCATCCCCCAATTGCCTTCCCCAGCCCCAGCCCATTGGTGGGCAATCTGTCCTCTAAGGTTCGAAGGAAGCCCCAATGCACCAAGATGAGCGTTGGCAGCCGGTCATGGGGCATTGGAATAAGATGAAAGATAAACCGTATACATACATGTAATGACAGTGAAATAACCATATAAATACAGTTCACCTACTATGGGGAAATGCTGAGGTACAGTATTTGATGTACACCATGTTGATAGATATATCTGAAAAAATGCCCCATTTAGGCTGGAATATCCCAAAAAGTATCACCAAGCCAAATGGCTGTTGGACATATCCAAAGTGACGCCACTTTCCTGCAGTGTTAGAAATTGCCGCCACTTGGCTGAAGTGACATGGTTTCTAAAAGTCGCTATGAAATCTTGGCTACTTTGGCGTTCTAGGTAAAAGTGTTTGTATGTAAAAGCTTAGAGGTGTTTAAAAGCTTCTGTCTGTAAAAGCTTCTGTGTGTAAAAGCTTCTGTGGGTAAAAGCTTTGTGTGCAAAAGTGTCTGTGTAAAAGCGTCTGTGTGTAAAAGTGTTTGCGATGCAAACTATTGTCTTGCACTTCTCACTATTTTGTCTTGATACTCCTCTTCTCGACTGCCTATAACACAGCTTTCATATACCGTTTCTAAAATTGCATCTCCATACTAACAAGAGAAGACCCTGCTCCTCTACGCTCTCGGGCCATCCGTCGTCTAGTTTGGTGGGGGTGGTAGGAGGGCCTAGGTAAATATATTTAGTTATCCTGGAGCGGATAGAATATGGAACTTTCCACAAATTCTCAATAACATGACTATGTTTGATATTCCCATATTGTAGGGCTTCGCACACCATTGGGCCCCAAACCGCTCAGTGGTCGCATGGGATTGCGGTGGGAGGTTGCCACAACAGTGCTCCACTTCAATGTTATTGAAGATGATGGATACTATGATCTCATTCCATTTCAGCATCCACATGGAGTGGGAACACAGCCTATCACTTATCTCTTGGACCTGCCGTTCATTGAATTCCTCAGAGCTGACCTGGATTTTTTTTTTGAACTGCTACCAGAGATTGAGAGGCCCCTTGAAATCCCCGAAAATGACATCGAAATCCCTTTGTGGTTCCGCGCCCTCAAAGACGACTTGCGTGATGTCATCTCAGTATGTTCCCTGCACGCTCGCCTCCAGCGCAGCCAGAGTGCGCGACGTTGAGACCTGAGATGCTTTTCACTAAATGCTGTTTTTTGTTGTGCCATGCAACCGTGAATGTGTCCATCTTGATGACAAGAGAAAAAAGCTTTTGCCTTCAGCCTTCTACCCACATGCAGCAGCCCATTCACGTTAATCAGTATCGCACAGTAAAATAAATCATTTTCACCGAGCATGCATTTGGGCAACAGTAAGTAACCCATACTCAACAAAGGATTGGCCCAGCGTTTAACGCATGACTTCTTATGATCATTGAGGCCCCGATCCTCTGTACCTGCTTGTTGCTTGGATCTCTGCAGCTTGCAAATGTCTCGCGCTCAGGAACATTGGGAAGTGCAAGAGATGCCAGGGCAGGAGCCAGGCGAGGACGGTGTGGTGCTGCTAGTCAAGCAGTACATGTGCCATACCTTTTTGAGTCAGCAGCCAACTCAAGGACTTGCCACTTTTTCAAGGGCAGATTTGTCAGGCACTCAAATGCAAATTTGATGTGTGCACAGCCAAAACACTCTGTAATAGCGAGCACGGTTGGTGAAACAGTTGCACGAAACTTGGTTTAGCTCGGCTCTTTGTTTCTTCCAGCCTCAAAACGAAAGCAATTGCTTCAACATACACTGCATGTATCGCCCGCAATGCCCCAATGCCCCAGGGACCCGTGAATAGACATGCTGAAACAAGTGTTTCAATTCAATTTGGCCGTCCGCTCCGCTTCTGAGAACATGGGTTTGCAACCAATGTAGAAATCTTTGCAAACAGGCAAGTTTGCTTGAAGGAGCCCATTGTTGAAACACAGCGTTTGCGTTTGCAGAGGTATTTCTGTCCTCACCTTTTTTCCATATTCCGCCTTCGGATTCAAACATGCACGCTGTAGACAGATTCTTTTCAGATACTCCCATGATACGCAGGTGCAAGAATGACAATGATGTCATTGGGTGGGGGAACGTGCACGTCACACTGAGAAGGACTTGATGGAAAATCCAGCTGACCGATTGGGAGCGTCGTTTAGAGCGCTTCATTGCATTTGTTTGAAAAGCGCGTTGCGCCACCTGTTTTAGTATCAGCACAAGTTTTCGTATCATGAAGCGATTAAATGCACAACTAACAAATATCTAATCTTTACTATTTTTTCTGGGATATAAGTTCCCGCGCGCAGGGGGTGTTTGCATTTTACACCCAAAAATCGCAAACAAAGTTTATAACTTTTTTGGGGCATGGACACCCACGGAGTAAGACGGCCATCTTTCTTTGAAGCCTTGCTCCAGAATTACCAGATCAAAGAAATCCAAGACACGTCACCAGGGTCAGGTGCCCTGGCTTTCTGGAATCCAGTACCAAGGATTCGTGTTCCACCAGAAGCACAAGTGCTGGCTGGAAAACTTGCGCGGCTTGGTAGCTCCAAACTCGTCTCTTTCTGAAAGGACAAGAAACTCTACATTCCGGCGTCCATACTGCTGCCTTCGCCACACTGAAATACGATGGCAGCAAAGGACGGAGTGGGCTCTTCCCACTTTTCTCTTGCTGCCTCGCCTCTCGCTTCTTCCTCCTGCAGCTGGCTTTCTTCTTAACTTCTCCCCTTCCCCTTGCTGCTGGCAATTGCTTCTCTGACGCGCTCCCTGTGCGGTCGGCAAGTGTCGGCGGATTTTATCTAATCCAGGATGATTACTGATTAATTTTTCATTATGTTTAACTTCCGGGCAACTTCCAGCTGTTGAACTATAAATCCCTTTGGATCCAGATAGTTTCTGAGAAGGGACTTAACCTTCCAGATGATATTCCAAACACTTCCTCCGAAGGAACCGCTGGACCAAAGGGTATCGTGTGTGTATATACATATCATATCTACATTTTCTGGGTAAATTGAAGTGACCTCACTGTCTCACTGTGGCCTCACTAGAATCATGGCTAGTCAGGGGAATACCCTTAAAAGGCCCAACACTTCAAGTTAGTGAACTATAACAAATTACGTGTGGATCCATAGGGTATCTATATATATATATATATATTGTGATCCTCTATGATGTAGATGCTTTTTGCGAATATGATGATGCATATGCCATAGATGGGGATACATATTCAATTATAATATATATATATATATATATATATGCAACTATCTGTATGTGTCTAAAAATAGAGGATATCCCACACCTGGCCATTGGAAAAATGATCATAAACCACTGATGTTTTTTGGGTTACCCTGTTTTTGATCAAACCCATATAGGTATGGGTCAAAACTGGGTACGGACATGGATGGTTAATACTAAAAATCGACATTCCAATCTGTGGCCCCCCTGGCTCCTAAATTTTGACCCATATCCATAGAGACGATCTCCCGCTCCCAGGTTTCTACATCCCCTATGAGCAGAGTCTCACGGAGACCACCTCAACTGCCTCGTGCCCCAAGTCCAAGGTGCCTGCGGATGGGGGATGTTGGGGACATCCCCGGGGAAATGGTGATTTTTACAGACAAACATGGGGACAAAGTTGAGAAACATCGTGATAAATTTTGACTTGATCAACCAAAAAAAGGAATCTAACTAGGAAACAAGGTGATACATAGTGATTTCATTCAGAAAACACGGGAGTTATTTGGGTTAGACTTTAAAGACCTTGTTTGTAATGGGAAAAACATCTATGAATGGGGATATAGCCTCTGGTAACATGTTACAATTTTGCTGTTAAAATCATGTCCTATGAAAGTACATGATTTAGCTTGTATAAAATGAACATTATCCACTGTTCCCTTAAACCATGAGAGGCTACCATTCGTTTTACAGTGGTTAGCGGCCAAATGGTGTTAACAAAAATATATTGATATATTTAATGGGTATTTAACGGTGTTATGAAAATATACTCAGTGGTTATTTAATGGTGATGTAGTGATGCGGTGGTATAATTATTTGGTACAATATTAATGTAGTATAGAGTGATAAGTGATAATGGTAATATAAATTGCACACGTAATTGTTGGTGATATAGTGGGATATTCATGGGCGGTTCATGGGATATAAGCCATCAATCTGGGATACAATGGGAAATCCATGGAGATTCTCGAACGGTCCAAACGGATCTTATAATTCATCCAGAGAATTGGCGCAAAGGAAAAAATACAAGAAATTCACATATGTGGTAAACACCATTTCGGGCTAAGAGTTTCCGAGCAAAACCAATCCATTGATGGTACGGTCACAATTTACGACTCATGATTCAAAAGTGTTTTTACATTTATAAACCGCTGAAACATATATATATACATACATATTTGAACTGAATCAAGCATGGCAATTGAAAACCCATCATTTACTTTGATGATTATCCCATTAAAACCTTCATTGATAGGGGGTTCTCCATTGCCATGATTGATGACATCTGAATATATTCATCTCAGATAGTAATGGTTTTTGTACTGAGCAAGGCTGAAGTTGGTGAAATTTCGATATGAATCACCGCTTGTTCCCTATTGGATGAAATCAACATGTTGTTTTTTTCAGTTTACAACACTATTTCTGGTTGTTCAATTCTCATGGTTTGTCAGCTGCATCAAATTACATCACCATGTTTTTTGTGGCTTAGAACATTTTGTTTGTTGATATGTTTGCTTGCGTAAACTGCCATTGTAGCTGGTTTAGGTTAGCATTTTCGTTGGTTATATAAACCAGCGCGTTGGGATTTCATCAGCCCATTCTTATATTATGTTTCATTCACCCTTGTTCAGCATGAAACTCATGATTTCCCTCTGGTGTCATCAATCGTGGTTTGCTGGAAAATTCACCATTTATTTCCGTCATTTTCCCAGGAAAAATCCTCCACTTATTGGGGAGTTCCCCATTGCCCACGGTTAAATATCAATTTTTCATAGGGGATTCAGGAGCAGGCCATGGTGCAGACAGGTTGACCCCATGTCCCATGCGTTTGGTGCGAGGTGGAGGCCATGAGCGGTCCCTACATGGAGCTCTCTGGTGGCTATGCGCAGGTCACAGGCGGAACTCGGGCGGGAGTTGGGAGAATGTGAAAATGGGGAGCATGTTGATCTATTATTGTCATGTATTATATATCTCCATTAAGTGAGATCATGGTACTATATTGTCATTTACTGTCTATCTAGTGTCATGTATTATTTGATTATGTATTATGTCGTATCAATGATAGCGTGTTTCCATTCAATGGTGTTTTTCACAGTTTAATACAGAAAAAAGTTACATATAATTGCGCTGAGCAATAATATGTTTGTCATGTGTTGAGTTTTTGTGGTTCATTGCGTATCTGATCATATTATATGTGTGTGTTCGTTTTTGAGGTCTATAGTTTGTTTTGTTTGTTTGTTTGTTTGTTTGTCTATAGTTTGTTTTGTTTGTTTGTTTGTTTGTTTGTTTGTGTGTGTGTTTGTTTGTTTGTTTGTTTGTGTGTTTGTTTGTTTGTTTGTTTGTTTGTTTGTTTGTTTGTTTGTTTGTTTGTTTGTTTGTTTGTTTGTTTGTTGTCTATTGACCATATTTATTTTTATATTACCATCTATTTATTGGGGGTTTAAGAGTGTCTTGCTTGTCTAGCATCTATATTTTTTGATTGTTTAGTATCTATGTATTATCCATTTACTACCTGCTGTATAAATTATTACATACTGTTTGACTATCTATTGAGCATCTGTCCGCTATCTAGTTGTTACCTTTGCATGATCAATCTATTGATGCATTGGTGTCTTGACCTCGTGGCCTATCGGTCTATATCTACATATTGAATTACTATCTTATGATGTGCAACAACCAACTATGAGCGTGGCCTTCCCTCTGAGCATGAATGATCTTGCACGCGCACCATGTTTAATTCTAGTGTGTTTCACTCAAAAGAATCATGTGCTAAAGCCGGTTTCAGTCAGAGAAGGTTACGGTATCTATGCTAAATCATGAGAAGATTGCCCCAACATGTCCCAAGCTCTTGGAAAAGCTATCACACAATCTCCCAAACATATCCCATTAAAGCCCTGGTGAACCTCCAATAGGTTGTTTTTGGATGTTCATCCCCCCAAATATGGTGTTTCATAGGCAGCTTGATCCATCATGATCCCCATCAAACTTTGAATCCGTATACCAAATCAACCCCGTTAAGCTAGTGAAATTCAACCCAAGATTTGGTCTTTCATAGGTTTGAACCCATCATCCCCATCTCCAAGCAGTGTTCCATCTCTCGGAGGTTATAGCTACGCGATTCCACCTTGCACTGAAGGCACCTGCGAACATCAGGACTACCATCACAGGGCTGAAGATAGTTTGCTTGGTAAAATCTTGGAAACCCATCCCTTGAGCTATACTTTCGACTACTTTAGCAGGTTTTGTTGCTTTAGCAGCTATGTTTTTCTTCCTGCCTGGGATACACATTTCGTTTAGGGTAAACATACACAAAAAAAAATATGGAAAAACCGTGGTAAAAGCCCAGGATTGATGATCCGATGACGGTTTGCGAGGGAAAATATCATCATTTTCTATCATCTCCAGGTGGGCCACAGTTACCATAGCTATGTTGAGTAACCAGAGGGTAAAATAATACTTAGCAGCCTTAGCATTTTTTAACTGATTACATAACAATATCTCTGGGAAGGTCCATGATTATATATATATATATGCTTAATGCACATTCCCATGCCCGTTCCTATGTGGTATTGTGACAAGTTCTTATATACGATTTCCGACTAAATCATCTTCATGTTTTATCCCTGGGACGACAAGTTGCAACTTGACTGATGTAGGAATGGCTTTGCTTCGATTCAATCAACCTCACCAGTTCGTTTATCTCCCCTAGTCAAAAACGCTGAAGAACTTCTCAGCAGCAACAACCACGTATAAAACATTGCAGATCTTAACGGTTGCAAGCTACTAACAATCTATGATTGAACAATCTATTTTGAACAAGGGGATCGAATCTATTAATAAACTACTTAAACATCTAATATTCAACAGATAGTATTTGATCGGTTAAGTATCAGCCGAAAATGTGGTACCTGGTAAGTCCTCAAGTCCTCCATGAAAGCAGCAATCTGTTGCAATAATCTTAGCCATCTATTGTGACTATCATCTATCTTGGGCGCAGAATTTTTAGGGTCACCTTCTCAAAGCCCAAATCCAGGACTTGAAGGGCCTGGCCACGGCATTGCAAGAGTCGCCTGTGTCCATTTGTGCAGCTTGGACAGCCGACGCTTGGGGCCGGGACCGGTGACTAGTTGGGACTGTCTCATGTAATTTTCTGGGGAATCCTTTGCAAGCTAGGATTCAAAGTTGTTGGCAGTATGTGAATCATTGGACTAATATGTGTGTTCTAAGGACCGTCCCACACAACCCAGTTGGAAGTTGAAATGCAATCCATGTCATGTTGGAAGCAGAAGTGGAATATCGATTTGTTTCAAAGCAGAGGAAACAACTGTACATATTGGACACTGTTTATACTGTATATACCACTACAGGTCACTGAAATTGATTGCATTAAGTACCTGGTGTTCAATTTAAGCAATTCGATAACTTCAGCTGTTTACTCAATTCACGCACAGCTTTGTTGACTTCCCCACAACAATTCACACCTTTTCCAGCCGCTCGACCAACCTTAAAGGGGGCCCTTTCTATTGGATTTAACCTTTAACATTGAAGTAAGCCTTTAGCATGTCTAGCAGCGCTACTTTGTTTGTTTATTGTATCCCACTCATATATATATATATATCAATAAATATATTATATGTCTGGAGTAGCTACTTGAGTTAGTTGGTCATAACTTACAACTTATAACTTATCACTCGTACCACCACCTGTTAATCCTTTGTGCTCCATCGTGCTGGAATATGTGTCAACATTTACGTCCAAAATGACGTTCATGCAGGCAGATGTTCCATGTGGAGCATGCGTCCATAATCAGAAGCTGGATTTTACACCCGTTTTGGGGGACGAGCATAAATCTTCTCAAAGGGATGAACAAACACCCATGATGTGTAGATTCCTGTTGTGGTATGGACCATATCCCACGAATCCTGTTAAACCCATGTAACTTCACCATGGCACAAATTGAGATGGTGATATATGTACATATATTCCATTGTTTCCCATTGTACCCCATTATCCCAATATATATCCCAATGTATATATATATATACACATATACTATCTTGTTGGTGGTCTGGAACATTTTATGTTTCCTTTTGTGGTAATTTCATCATCCCAACTGCCGAACTCCATCATTTTTCAGAGGGGTAGGTTGAAACCACCAACCAGTTATTGATATCTCATGATCTCTCATGATCTTCCATGGCTATGGGATAAACCGTCGTTTCCAAAAGGTGAACGCCGAGACTTGGAACGACTACACCGGTGGCGTCTTGACCTCTGCGGCTTGCGGCCCCATGGGAGCAGACTATCAGGCCGGGGTGCCCCGGCAGGGGCGACCATTGATCCCACAATTAGTGCCAGTCCCAGTTATAAGTTGATTTATCAACGCGTTTGAAGAAGTATATAAATAAATGAATAATAGATAAGTAAATCAATCAATCAATAGCAAATATATAAAATACATATATATATATGTATATATGCATACGGGGTCAGAAAAAGGTAGGTCCATGTTTCATGGCGCTGAGCATATATGTGATATGTATGTATTTATTTATCTATATATATATATATATTGACTATATCTGATTTGACATGATAGAATATATGTAATACGATGAAATACATGTAATAATATCAATAGTATATACAAACACTATATATATATATATATATATTTGTGTTTACGTTTATGTATAGTGAATGTATGTCATATAAATATGATTATATACTGTATGTGATATTTAAATATCACTATATTTGTACATATGTATATAGTAAATTGTGGAATGTATTCATATCACAAACCAATGTAAACCGTAAACCAAAAACAGATCAATTCCGCCATCTTGGGTTTGTTCCTTGGTTAGAAACTCCAACTATGGTTAAGTTATGCTGCCAAGTCAATCACTATAAATTCTAGTTAATCAACGCTGGTGATATCACTTCCAAACTTCTAGACCTTCCAGTTGTAATCTTGTTATGTTACCCAGTTAACCACTATAAATTCTAATTAATCCAGTTAATCCATTTCTAGACCGACTGGGCTAGTTTTTGGGCACCAGCCTCACCTGTGGCCATCTGCGCCAGGACCATTGCGTCATGGCCGTGGGTTACAACAGCACCGCACCCAAACCCTATTGGATCGTGCGAAACAGCTGGGCCTCCACCTGGGGAATGGCTGGCTACATCTACCTGGAGATGGCACCTTAACGTCACTGGAATGATGGATTGATATATATATATATACTATAGATATATATATATATATATTTAAAAAAAAAAAGAAGCCCAGGCTTTGCAGCGTCGAGGGCCCCCATTCACAATCATATGTTGTTGCAAATCTGCATTCCAATGGGAAGATTAACAAAGGTATTAGGGAATATTAAAGTCCCACCACCATTAAACTTAACTTTTATTGAAGATCTTTAATAAGGGTTTAATTCTCCCACCCCCGTTAAACTTCTACATTCATTGAAAATCTTCATAAATGGTTTAATTCTCCCACCCCCGTTAAACTTGTACATTCATTGAAGATTTTCGATAAGGGTTTAATTCTCCCACCCCCGTTAAGCTTCTACATTCATTGGAGATCTTCAACAAGGATTAAATTCTCCCACCCCCGTTAAACTTCTACATTCATTGAAGATCCTCAATACGGTTTTGATGATGACTATGATGATGTTGATGATGATCATGATCATGATGATGCGTTGCCTGTCGTGGTTGCGGTACCGGGTAAAGCCCAGGCAGTTGCTGTATATATATATATATAATATATATATACGTATAAATATATATATATATATATAAGTATATATGGGTTTGTTGAAAAATGGTGGATAGCCACATTCATAGCCAATTCATACGGAAAATGAGGTTTTAATCCATTGGAATTGGGGTGTGCCTATTTTCAGACGAAACCATAGTAGAGAAATTATTCCCTTCGATGAAGTAGAATTCATCCAGATGGATGATGGGATTGGGGGATTAGTACTATAAATTCAACTGCATCAATATATGAAATATAGTATTATATATTATAGTACAAATCCCCCAATCCCAGTACTATTACGGCCAGGGGCTGTGTGTTGCCCGGAAGGTTCAAATGGCGCTTAAACATGTTTAAACATTATCTTTCAACATGTTCAAACACCTGCGCAGGGCCAGTGTTTTGAGATTTCCCAGACGATGAACCTTAAACCCTAAAACCCTAAACCATCCTAAACCCTAAAATCCCAAACCCTAAAATCCCAAACCCTAAAACCGTAAACCCTAAAACCTAGGCCCTGAAAACTTTGAATCCTAAACTGGAAAACACTGCGTATACGCAGTATTTTCTGCAATCTCTCCTATCATATACTATATTCGACAGCAGGACATTCTCAATGTTAATGTCTGGGCAACACATGGCGTCTCTGTGGTTACTATTATGTGCTTATATACTTGATGCAGTTGATGATTACTATAACATAGTTTTGTCAAAATTCAACTGCATCAATTCTGGCAAGACTATGCTGTCCTTGCACCAAACTGCAACCCATGCTTCGCAACAACAATCAGGCGCTCCTTTTCGGGGACCAAATGGCAGCTGTCACCACTGAATGTGTGTTGCTGCTGAATATCCATCAGTGGGAGTTAAGACATTAGCCAGTCATATGATAATTTGCATAGCCATATCAATAAATGGGATGAATGGGAACGCAATTTATATATATATATATACACTGTTGCAATCAAACTTGGCAAAGAACCATCCTCTATAAATGGAGGTGTCGTTCGCTGGCGAAATCATCGAAGCGTTTAAACCGTGGTCAGTGGTTGGGTTCGCCTGTTATGTTCGGTGGACAAAAATCCAGTGAAGTATTTTGTAAACCCAGCTTTAAACCAGTTTGCCTAGAAATACCCATAAAGCCTCATTTTTTTGCATTTTGTTGATGAAATCTTCGTTTTCTGGTTGGTAAAAACCTATTATTCTCAGGCTACCTAGCGCTCATTTGCAGGCCCCAAAGTGTAGAGGCCGCCTTTCGCCCGATTCCCACAGCACCCGAGGACAAGAACACTTGCGGCCTTGCTGATGACGTGACAATCCCTCACGTCACTTCACTTGGACGTTACAAAAAGGGTATTGTGTGTTGGATGTTGTTTTGTTACCATGGAAATGAAACATATTTTTTCCCCACATCTTTGTGTGGGGTTCTTGTTTTTGATTCTGTATCCCGGGCTCCTCCTCCGCCGCCTCCTCCTCCAGCCGCACTCCACACACACAACACACACACAACACACACACAAACACATACACACACAACAACACACACACAACACACACAACACACACACACACCAACACACACACAAACACATACACACACACAACAACACACACACACAACACACACACACACCAACACACACACACAACCCACACACACACCAACACCACACACACACAAACACCACACACACACCAACACCACACACACACCAACACCACACACACACACACAACACACACACACACACACACACAACAGACGAACAGAGCAGACAACAAACAACAACAACAACAAAACCACAAACAACAACACAAAACAACAACACAACAACAACAATAACAACGATAACAACGACAACAACCGACAACAACAAACAACAACAAACAACAACAAACAACAACAAACAACAACAGACAACAACAAACAACAACAAACAACAACAAACAACAACAAACAACAACAAACAACAACAAACAACAACAAACAACAACATACAACAACAAACAACAACAAACAACAACAAACAACAACAAACAACAACAAACAACAACAAAAAACAACAACAACAAACACCACAACCCACACATCACCAACACACAACAACACACACCACAAAAAAACAACACACACACACAAAAACAACACACACACAAACAAAAACAACACACACACAAACAAAAACAACACACACACACACAAACAACACACACTCACAAAAACAACACACACGCAGAAACAACACACACACACAAAACAACACACACACACAAACAAACAACACACACACAAAAACAACACACACACAAAAACAACACACACACAAACAACACACACACACACAAACAACACACACACACAAACAACACACACACAAAAACAACACACACATCACACAGGCAGGCGTGGCACAAACTCCACATCTAAGTCGTTTGCGGGCAGGCGTGGCACTTATGGTTACTGGGTGGCGCCCTTGGGCCCGGTTTAGGCGGGCGTGACGCCTGTGGCGCCGCGCCACTTTGCGTGGCAGGCGTGGCACTTGGTGACATTCACCTTCGCTTCACGTGGCAGGCGTGGCACAAACTCACATCTACCGTCGTTTTGCGTGGCAGGCGTGGCACTTATGGTACTGGGTGGCGCCCTTGGGCCCGGTTTAGGCGGGCGTGACGCCTGTGGCGCCGCGCCACTTTGCGTGGCAGGCGTGGCACTTGGTGACATTCACCTTCGCTTCACGTGGCAGGCGTGGCACAAACTCACATCTACCGTCGTTTTGCGTGGCAGGCGTGGCACTCATGGTACTGGTGGCGCCTTGGTCCGGACGCCAGGGGCGCCGCGCCACTTTGCGTGGCAGGCGTGGCACTTGGTGACATCCACCTTCGCTTCAAGGGCAGGCGTGGCACAAACTAACATCTACATCGTTTTGCGTTGCGGCGTGGCACTTCTGTAGGGTGGCGCCCTTGGGCCCGGTTTACGGTGGGCTGTGGCACGCCCTGTTTAGGCGGGCGTGACGCCTGTGGCGCGCGCCACTTTGCGTGGCAGGCGTGGCACTTGGTGACATCCACCTTCGCTTCACGTGGCAGGCGTGGCACAAACTCACATCTACCGTCGTTTTGCGTGGCAGGCGTGGCACTTATGGTACTGGGTGGCGCCCTTGGGCCCGGTTTAGGCGGGCGTGACGCCTGTGGCGCCGCGCCACTTTGCGTGGCAGGCGTGGCACTTGGTGACATTCACCTTCGCTTTACGTGGCAGGCGTGGCACAAACTCACATCTACCGTCGTTTTGCGTGGCAGGCGTGGCACTTATGGTACTGGGTGGCGCCCTTGGGCCCGGTTTAGGCGGGCGTGACGCCTGTGGCGCCGCGCCACTTTGCGTGGCAGGCGTGGCGCGTGGTGACATCCACCTTCGCTTCACGTGGCAGGCGTGGCACAAACTCACATCTACCGTCGTTTTGCGTGGCAGGCGTGGCACTTATGGTACTGGGTGGCGCCCTTGGGCCCGGTTTAGGCGGGCGTGACGCCTGTGGCGCCGCGCCACTTTGCGTGGCAGGCGTGGCACTTGGTACATCCACCTTCGCTTCACGTGGCAGGCGTGGCACAAACTCACATCTACCGTCGTTTTGCGTGGCAGGCGTGGCACTTATGGTACTGGGTGGCGCCCTTGGGCCCGGTTTAGGCGGGCGTGACGCCTGTGGCGCCGCTTCACTTCTGCGTGGCAGGCGTGGCACTTGGTGACATTCACCTTCGCTTCACGTGGCAGGCGTGGCACAAACTCACATCTACCGTCGTTTTGCGTGGCAGGCGTGGCACTTATGGTACTGGGTGGCGCCCTTGGGCCCGGTTTAGGCGGGCGTGACGCCCGTGGCGCCGCTTCACTTCCGCGTGGCAGGCGTGGCACAATCTTACATCCATGGTCGTTTTGCGTGGCAGGCGTGGCAGACATGACAGATTCTGTTTCTTGTATGCAGACTTTCATCATGTCGTTCTTGTCGTTCTGTTTTGGTCGCTTTGGCCCAACTAGAAGTTGCAGACAACAGCTCTAGCACGTATACCACTACAACACAACTACAACTAGTCAGTCAAGCAAGGTAAAGATGCGGTCATAGGATCATCTCTGGTCAGTTTGCATGCATACGACTCAACCACAACTACAACGAGTCAGTCAAGTGACATTGGTCATTTGCATGCAAAGATGCGGTCCTTCCGGCATGTTTCTTCTTTCCGCGTGCTTCGGCATGTTTGATTTTGGCATGTTTAAGCACTTTCTTCTGTCGGCGTGCTACGTGCTTCGGCATGTTTGATTTTGGCATGTTTAAGTACTTTCTTCTGTCGGCCTGCTGCATTCCACACAGACACACACACTTGCGGCCAGGTGCTGGTCTTGCTCGTGGTCGAGAGGCAGGGCTCAACTGCGCTTCAGCAACGCTGTGCAGCGCAGACATGACAGATTCGGTTTCTTGCATGCAGACTTTCATCATGTCGTTCTTGTCGTTCTGTTTTGGTCGCTTTGGCCCAACTAGAAGTTGCAGACAACAGCTCTAGCACGTATACCACTACAACACAACTACAACTAGTCAGTCAAGCAAGGTAAAGATGCGGTCATAGGATCATCTCTGGTCAGTTTGCATGCATACGACTCAACCACAACTACAACGAGTCAGTCAAGTGACATTGGTCATTTGCATGCAAAGATGCGGTCCTTCCGGCATGTCTCTTCTTTCCGCGTGCTTCGACATGTTTGATTTTGGCATGTTTAAGCACTTTCTTCACTTTCTTCTGTCGGCCTGCTACGTGCTTCGGCATGTTTGATTTTGGCATGTTTAAGTTTTGTCATTTGCATGCAAAGATGCGGTCCTTCCGGCATGTTTCTTCTTTCCGCGTGCTTTGGCATGTTTGATTTTGGCATGTTGAAGTACTTGCTTCTTTCGGCCTGCTGCGTGCTTCGGCATGTTTGATTTTGGCATGTTTAAGTATTCTTCTTTCCGCGTGCTTCGGCATGTTTGATTTTGGCATGTTTAAGTACTTTCTTCTTTCGGCCTGCTGCGTGCTTCGGCATGTTTGATTTTGGCATGTGTAAGTACTTTCTTCTGTCGGCCTGCTACGTGCTTTGGCATGTTTGATTTTGGCATGTTTGAGTTTGGTCATTTGCATGCAAAGATGCGGTCCTTCCGGCATGTTTCTTCTTTCCGCACAGTGATGATTACCAGCCACAGGGCATGCAGAAAGAGTTCGCAAAATTTGCGGCTTCGCCCGAAAGAGTGCAGAACATTACTTTGGTCAGCGGAAGTATGGAGAGCACACCATCGCTTTGATAGAGGGCTCTGCCATAAAAGATCTTTCGGGAAGCAACGTCGGGAAAAAAAACCATCAGAGCCTGGTGGAGCTCGAAGAAGGCGAGTGAGACACGTCGTGAGACCTAGTGTTCAGCACACACCCTTGGATCCCACAAAGAATTTCCGTGGTAAGCATATCTTGTTTCTTTTCTGGCCTTCAGTGACAAGTCACTATCTAGTGGAAGAAACACCACCAACTTGCAAAACCAATGGTCAAGTCACTATCTAGTGGAAGCTTTAATTGCAAAAACGTAGAAGCAACCAGACATAAACAAAACCCAACACTGAACAAACTCTAAAATCTCAAAACTTCCGAAACAAGCAAAACAAATCTGCAAACATGGAGTCACTTCAGATTGAGTAGGCTTTCTTTGCGCGCCAGGGCTGGCCCTCTGCTTGCGAGCCAAGCCCATGGAGCAGAGAAATACAGACAGCAATAGAGATGTCCTGTTTTCTTCCACGGAAGATAGCCAGCAAAAAGCACACATCATCACTTTCACACACACCATCTTTCACGCGCAACTTTGTCACACACATACACATACATACATTCATACATACATACATACATACGTACGTATGTACATACAGACATACATATGTACGTACGTACATGCATACTATCTTTTCACATACTTTCACACACAGTTTTTCACCACCTCCTTTGTCTTTCCTTCCTTCTCCGACCCCGCTGCAACCTTTGAAACTCATTATTGGAAGAAGTTGACTTGTGGGGTTATCCGGTCCTTTAATTTGGATATAGTTCTCTTTGAACATGGATACCGTGATGAGGCATCAATATACAACATAATACCAGTAGTACCGCACAAGGCGGTGGCGGAAGTTTCAAAAATAGGAAACCTATAGGAGAGGTTGGCTGTTGTGAATCAGGGATGGCAGAGCGAAGCCACTGATGGAACGAAAGGTGATTGATCTCTCTCACTACTTCTCTCTCTTTCTCTGACTATCTACCTACCTACCTACCTACCTATCTA